AAAAAAAAAAAAAAAAAAAAAAAAAAAAAAAACAGAAAAAAAACAAAGCTCACGAGTTTATATGGCTGATTCAAGGTCACAGGGCAAGGTGAGGGGACCTCCAGCCTGGATCTGTTTCTCCTCCGCCTCCTCCTGCCCCTTCCCACCAGCATCTCTCCACTCCCCTCCTCGAGGTAGGGTGAGGGGGAAGCCCCAGGAGAAGCCAGCTCCAAAGCATAGGAAAGTCAAATGCCGTTTGATTCTGGCCCCGGGGCCTCTAATTGCTATTCCTGACACAGACTGTAATTAGAAGGCCCCTTTCAAATATTTATACCTCAGACATCTAGTTTTATCCGGCAGGGAGACGACTCGGATTTGATGAGATCTGTCAACAGCTCATCCCGGCGCCCTGGAATTGCCTTGCGGCTGACAGAAAGCAGGACAATTACCCGCTGTGCTCCCTGGCTGCCTCAAGGGGATGCAGCCTTGTCACCAACGATCGCTGATAGGAAAGGATGGGGTGGAAGCGGGGGTGGCCGTGTGCTTCCGGACGGAGGAAGGAGTTCAACAGGTTTGTGTTGGGGGACACAGTCAGTGCAGGGAAGGGAAGAACAGAAGGGTCTAGACGCCTGCAGCCTTCAGGGGCTTTGCTTTGTTGGCTCCAGGCCTCAGTTTCCCCATCGGGAAAATGGAGAGGAGTTGCAGAGCTGATTCCATGAAGAGACACCAGGCCAGGCGCGGTGGCTCACGCCTGTAATCCCAGCACTTTGGGAGGCCGAAGCAGGTGGATCACCTGAGGTCAGGAGTTAGAGACCAGCCTGGGCAACATGGTAAAACGCTGTCTCTACTAAAAATACAAAAATTAACAGAGTGTGGTGGTGGATGCCTGTAACCCCAGCTACTCAGGAGGCTGAGGCAGGAGAATCCCTTGAATCTAGAAGGCGGAGTTTGCAGTGAGTGGAGATGGGGCCACTGCGCTCCAGTCTGGGCGACAGAGCAGACTGTCCCCCCCTCCAAAAAAAAAGAGACTCCAGTGCCACCTAGGCCAGTCCTCATGGCGATGTCCAGGCAGAATGAGCTGTGGAGTGGCTCTGAACAAGTCCCTCCCGGCCCGATGCCTCAGTTTCCCCATCCGTAAAATGAGGAAGCTGGGTGATAAGTTGCTGTCTCCTGGGATCCTTCCTCGAGCTGTCTGGGTTTTCGTGGTAGAAACCACATCTTTCAAATAAGTAAGCCAAGACTCAGTGAGTGACAGACCCCGCCCCCGCCCCCGCCCCCACGCCTGCCAGGAGGCCCAGTCTTAGCAGCGTTGGTTCTGACTTCTTGTCCTCCAACTGTCCCCTCCAAGCTACGACCCGTGCCCAACCAGGGGGCTGGCCACAAGAGGAGAGAATCGGGGATCCCACCCTTCCTGACCACCCCTCTCTCACTCCAGTCATTAGGGGGTATTGGGCAAGCCCCCTCATGGGGAAAGAAAAAAAAAAGGTTCTGTCCTGGAAAATTGGCCAGTGACCCCCTTTTCCTCTCCCACCCCCCAAATCTCTCACCCTTACCCTCAGACAACGGCAGCTGACAACAGGCGGCCAGGACAGGCCAGGCCCCTCTCACTTCTGCCCCTCTTCCCGCCCCCCCCCCCCCCCCGAAGGCCACAAAAGGACAGATGCCGAGGACAGGCTCCAGACACAGATACCATCTCCCTTCCCCAGGCCAGCTGCCCCAAACCCTCCCCCTGCCCGAGATTAGTCCCCTGGGGAGGTGGGGGACAGAGCGGAGCTCTCTTGGGGGAGGGGAAGCCCGATCCCCAACCTCCCTTCCTTTGCCCCCCTCCTCCTTCTCGCTGCGTCAATATCAATTTCAGCCAGTGACCTCTCCACCAATTTCCACATCCCCACTCTCCCGGTCAGTTTCACCGCCAGACATCTGTTCCATTTCGGCCCTCCGTGGTGGCCATTCCCACTCCCTCTGCCGGTCAATTTCACCCCTTCTGGCGGTCAAGTCCAGTCCCTCATTTCCCGGTCAATTTTCCCCTCCCCTCCCCTCCTTCACTCCCTCCCTCTCCTCCTTCTCCCCTCCCCAGCTGTGTCCCTCCCAGCCGATCCCCACCTCCCGCGCTCCGCGCTCGCTGCGGCCAGTCTCGGGAGTCTGGGTCAGTGTCCAGTTGCCGCGGCCTCGGCCCCGGAGACTCCCGCCCCCGGCCCCGCTTCCCTCCGCGGGCAGCGGCTCCCTCCCTCCCCAGAACAGCTGAAGGTCTCTGTCACCTCCGAGGGGAGCGCAGGGGGAGGGGAGGGGCGGGGGACGCGGCGGAGAGGAGGCGGGGGAGCCTTGACGCTGCTGCCCGGGACGCGGCCCGAGGCCGGTGGGAACCGGGGCGTCCTCCCGCGCGCCCCCTCCCCAGCGTCCCACCTTCCGGCCGCGCGCTGGGGGCGGCGGGGAAAGTCTCTCCGAAAGCGTGAAGGGGGATTGGAGGAGGTTTTTATTTCCCTTTGTGCGGGTGGCTGGGGCCGGATCGAGGCGGCCCGGTCGGGGGCCGCGGGATTGGGGCTCCCCGCTGAGCCCAGAGGAGCGCGACAAAGGATGGGTCCCGCCGGGGTCACCGTCTCCGCGCCCCAACTTTGCGCGCAGTGCCCGCGCCCCTGGGGAGCCCGCCCGCTGCGCTGAGACCCCAGGCGTCCGGGCTGGGCGAGAGGCCGGGATCGTCCGCAGGCGGCGCTGGCCCGGTCTCCGGACCCCAGAAAGGGATCCCGGAGCTTCCCGGAGGCGGCGAGCGTTCGATCCGCGCCGCGGAACCGCGCTGCCCGCGAAAACTCCGCGCGCCTCCGCGGATGCCACTCGCCCTGGCCCCTAGCGCGCGGCGTTCAGGGCCCTGCGGGGCGCCCCCTTCCCCCGCGGTGCTTCCCCAGCCGGGCTAAGGTGGGCTTGTCCTCCTCCCTCCTCTGTCGCCTCGTTTTCCTCCCCCTCCTTCATCTTTTCCTTCCCTCTATCCATCCAGAGCCCAGCCAAAGGGCACACCTGACCTTTCTCCTCTTTCCCTGCTCTTCCTCTCCTCCTTCTCCTCCTCCCTGGGGAAAGGGACCCGGACAAGCGCATGTGGGGGCCCCTCTGACAGTGGCCGGATTGGGGGTGGCAGGCGCCCAAATGGCCAAGTGGCTACGGGACTACCTGAGCTTTGGCGGTCGGAGGCCCCCTCCGCAGCCGCCCACCCCGGACTACACCGAGAGCGACATCCTGAGGGCCTACCGGGAGCAGAAGAACCTGGACTTCGAGGACCCCTATGAGGACGCGGAGGGCCGCTTGGAGCCGGACCCAGCGGGCCCCGGGGACTCCAAGAACGCCGGAGATGCCAAGTATGGTTCTCCCAAGCACCGGCTCATCAAGGTGGAGGCTGCGGATATGGCCAGAGCCAAGGCCCTTCTGGGCGGCCCCGGGGAGGAGGTGCGTGGCTGGGTGGCCCCGGGAATCTGGGTGGAGGGGAGGCTCAGGCTGGGCCCGCTGGATCCTGGAGAGCTTGTTTTATGTGTGATCACAGGGGGGACCTGGGGCCCTTCCCAGTCCTCCAGACTTTCACCTGCTTGGGGAGGTCTGTTCTTTTTTTTTTTTTGAGACACAGTCGAGTCTCCCTCTGGCGCCCAGGCTGAATGGAGTACTGTGGTGGGATCTCAGCTCACTGCAACCTCTGCCTCTCGGGTTCAAACCAATTCTCCTACCTCAGCCTCCCAAGTAGCTGGGATTACAGGCGCCTACCAACCTTCCAGTTAAGTTTTGTATTTTCAGTAGAGATGGGATTTCACCATGTTGGCCAGGCTGCTCTGAAACGCCTGACCTCAGGTGATCCTCCCGCCTCGGCCTCCCAAAGTACTGGAATTACAGACATGAGCCACCACACCTGGCCGATATCTGTCCCTTTTCAATACATAATGTTGGCTGTCCTCATGTCTCTCCGACCACCCTGCTTGGTCTCTGGGTCCTCCTCCTCCATGGCCATCCTCTCGGCCCCCCCAGTCCCCTCCCTCAGCACCCCTTCCTCTTTGAACCTGGTAGGACTTTCCTAAAACAGATCTGAGTGAGTTCCTCCCCTCCTGGACACGTAAACATCTTCCCTATGACTCTGCCCTTCCAACCACTATGTTCCCATTTTGCAGAAGAGGAAACTGAGGCTCACAGAAGAGCAGTTATTTCCCCAAGGTCTCACAGCGTTCTAGCTTACTACAATTTGAACCCAGGCCTCCAGGTGCAGTAGCTCATTCCTGTAATCCCAGCACTTTGGGAGGTAGAGGTGGGAGGATTGCTTGAGTCCAGGAGTTCAAGACCAGCCTGGGCTAACAGAGTGAGACCTTGACTCTCCAAAAAAAAATCAAAACATTAGCCAGTTGTGGTGGTGCACATTTGTAGTCCCAGCTACTCCGGAGGCTGAGGCAGGAGGATCACTTGAGCCCAGGAGGTCAAGGCTGCAGTGAGTCATGACTGAACCACTCCACTCCTGCCTGGGCAACAGAGCAAGACCTTGTCTCACACACACACAAAAAAAGTCCAGACATGGTGGCTCACACCTGTAATCCCAGCGCTTTGGGAGGCCAAGATAGGCGGATCACGAGGTCAGGAGTTCGATACCAGCCTAGCCAGTATGGTGAAACCCTGTCTCTACTAAAAATACAAAAATTAGCCAAGCGTGGTGGCACGTGCCTATAGTCCCAGCTACTCAGGAAGCTGAGGCAGGAGAATTGCTTGAACCCAGAGGTGGAGGTGACAGTGAGCTAGGACTGCAATACTGCACTCCAGCCTGGGCAACAGAGCGAGACTCCATCTCAAAAAAAAAAAACTCTTGGGCCAGTGTGGTGGCTAATGTCTGTGATCCCAGCATTTTGGGAGGCCAAGGCAGGTGGATCATTTAAGTTCATGAGTTCAAGACCAGCCTGGCAACATGGCAAAACCCCATCTCTACCAAAAATACCAAAATTAGCCAGGTGTGGTGGCGGGCGCACTCCAGCCTGGGCAACGGAGCGAGACTCCATCTCTAAATAAATAAATAAAAATCAAAAGTCTTGGAGAGGTGTCAGATGGCCCTGTAGGCAGGCAAGAGCTGCAGCATCACTTGGTGGGGGTGCCCCTTTTGAGTCCTTGTCCCCTCCTCCTTCCTTCCCTCTGCAGCTGGAAGCTGACACAGAGTACTCAGACCCCTTTGATGCCCAGCCTCATCCTGCACCCCCAGATGATGGGTACATGGAGCCCTATGATGCCCAGCGGGTTATGAGTGGTGAGTAGGCAGGGCTTGGGGGAAGGTGGCAGGGTCCCAGATGGGAGCAGGAACTGACCAGTGTCCCCGGCGTCCTAGAACTGCCTGGCAGAGGGGTGCAGCTCTATGACACCCCTTATGAGGAACAGGACCGAGAGACAGCGGAGGAGCCCCCTTCTGGGCAGAAGCCTCGGCAGAGCCGGATGCCCCAGGAGGACGAACGGCCAGCAGATGAGTATGACCAGCCCTGGGAGTGGAAGAAAGACCACATCTCCAGGGCGTTTGCAGGTGCTTCTCAGACCCACACCCTGACATCTGAGTGCCCCATCCCTGCATTTCCTCATCTGGTCATGTCTCCTGTTTCCATGTACTAAGTGGAGTCCAGTCACTTGCCACTTTGGTAGTTTGTTAATTCTCACTAGAGTGTGAATGACTGATAGTCCTAAATTCTTTCTTCCAAGACAACTTGCATCTTCCTTGGAAATGCAAACACTTTTTAGAGTGGAATAGAACCTACTTATCTTGCTGAGTGTGGTGCAGGAAGGGGAACGTGGTTTGCTTTTGGAATAGGGTGTGGGGGGTGGTGGGGGTAGAATTTTCTTCTCTTTTGTTTTCTAAGACAGAGTCTCACTCTGTCTCCCAGGCTGGTGTGCAGTGGCACGATCCCGGCTCCCTGCAACCTCCACCTTCCAGGTTCAAGTGGTTCTCCTGCCTCAGCCTCCTGAGTAGGTGGGATCACAGGCTCCCGCCACCAAGCCTGACTAAATTTTGTATTTTTAGGAGAGACGGGGTTTCACTGTGTTGGCCAGGCTGGTCTCTCACTCCTGACCTCAGGTGATCCACCTGCCTCGGCCTCCCAAAGTGCTGGGATCACTCCGGACCAGCATTTCTTAGTAGTGAACCACAGGTCGGTTTCTAGCTGAATCGGATGAGCTTGGACGAGCCTCTGAGCCTTAGTTTTCTTTTCTGTAAAAGGCATAATTATAAAATCAGCTTTAAAAAATAAACTAATTTGGACCAGGAAGAGCTGTGCAAACATGGCTTTGCCCCCAAAGTTTTATGACTGGGAGGCTATTCGGAGCTCAGTGCCTTTGTCCCCCTATCTGTAGATTGGGGGTGATTTTCTAGTTTTAGGACTTGTCCTCAGTCTAGGTTGAACCCCAGAAGAGATTTAAGGACTAGATTTAGGCATTTAGTTCCCCTAGCTGGAAACTTCGAACCCACCCCCTCTAGCCACGCCCCCTGTGCTTGTTGCTACCAGATTTATGAATGACTACACCTGTTTCTTCTGAAGGCCAATGGGTTGCAGCTGTGGCCAATCCTGCCCCTACCTTAAGCCCAGCCCCTGGGCTCTGATAGGTTGCCTAATCTGGCCCCGCCTTCCTACTGATAGTCCATTGGCTGGCCCCTGCCCCACCCTCCAGGGGAGGCTGGACTTGATTCTTTCCTCTCTAAATATCCCTTGCAGTGCAGTTTGACAGTCCAGAGTGGGAAAGGACTCCAGGCCCAGCCAAGGAGCTCCGGAGACCCCCACCCAGAAGCCCCCAGCCTGCGGAGCGAGTGGACCCAGCCCTGCCCCTGGAGAAACAGCCGTGAGTGGGGAACTGAAGGTGGAAGAGCCCCGTTGAACGTAGCTGTAGACTCCAGTGTATCAGGTGGAAGTGTTTTCTCCAGATTAGAGGAACTGGGGGAACTTGAGTTCATTTATCCACTTATTTCTTCAACTAATCTTTACTGGGCACCAGAGCCTGCTGTGTGCCAGACACTCAGTTAGACACAAAACAGAATCAGATGGGGTCCCTTTCTCTCTGGTATCGAGTTCTGGGTTCAAATCCCTGCTCCTCCCTCCTGGCTGTGTAGCCTTGGGCAAGTCACTTAACCTCTCTGAGCCTCAGGTTCAAACGGAAAAGGGAATTTCCTTCCTTAACTTGGGTGGAGCTTACAGTCTCAGAGCCAAGAGACAGAAATCATTGTCAGCCAGAAGTTCTTAGGATGGAACTGGGAGGCGTAGGAGTTTGGTGGACTCACAACTCCGTGTTGTGGGGCGGCACATGAGCTGGGAGACGCTGACTCTGTGTCCTTCCAGCCTGGGAGCTCCCGGAGGGAGTGCCCAAGTCCCCAGAATCCAGGTCATGTTATCACAGTCACCCCTAAAGCTCTTCAGTGGGCAGTGCAGAACTGGCTATTTAACTCTGAGGCCTAGGGAGGCTGAGGCATGAGAATCACTTGAATCTGGGTGACGGAGGTTGCAGTGAGCCCAAATGGTGCCACTGCACTCCAGCCTGAGTGACACAGTGAGACTCCATCTCAAAAAAAAAAAAAAAAGAAAAGAGGGGACAGGTGGGTGAGATATAAGATGTAGCACTGCTCTTGTGAAAGTGATTGAAGTTGCCAAGGAGGCTGTGAAGATCCATGTCAGGTGCAGCCAATAACCAGGCTCCTCTTGAAAAATCCAAGGGAATTTTCCTTCTTCATTTGCCCAGACGTTACAAGCCCATGCATCAGCTGTGCGTGGACCCAACAGACCCCAGAGTGTGTTTGTTTTGCTCTTTGCCTTTTTTTTTTTTTTTTTTTTGAATTGGGTGTCTCACTCTGTCGCCCAGGCTGTAATGCAGTGGCACGATCTCGGCTCACCGCAGCCTCTGCCTCCCTGGTTCAAGCAATTCTCCTGCCTCAGCCTCCTGAGTAGCTGGGATTACAGGCGCGCGCCACCCTGCCCAGCTAATTTTTTTGTATTTTTAGAAGAGACAGGGTTTCACCATGTTGGCGAGACTGGTCTTGACCTCAGGTGATCCTCCCGCCTCTGCCTCCCAAAGTGCTGGGATTACAGTAGGCGAGAGCCACCGTGTGTTTGAAGGGCAACAGCCTTTGATGAGATACCTGTTGGCACCGCTAGGTGGTTCCACGGCCCCCTGAATAGGGCGGATGCGGAGAACCTCCTGTCCCTCTGCAAGGAAGGCAGCTACCTAGTCCGGCTCAGTGAGACCAGCCCCCAGGACTGCTCCTTGTCTCTCAGGTGAGACCTCAGCCTCACAGGGACAAAGGGTCACTGGACTGCATGCGTCACCCTTTTCGGTTAATTCAGAGGGAGTGGGAAGGTGTGGCTCCAGCAGCCAATGGGAAGGGCTTCCAGGCCAGAGGGCGGGACTTCTAGGAGCAAGGGTGGAGCTTCCAGGGAGGCCATTAGCTGGTGAGAATGAGCCCCCCATCACTGGAGGTATACATGAAGACAGAGTGGAAGCCATAGAGGAGGTCCAGAACTTGGGTAAGATGAGGAACTAGGTGTACAAGACTCCTTTGGACTCTCCTAGTCCAGAAATGGAGGTATATCAATTTGTGTCCACCCAAAACCAGAATTTCAGGGTGTGCCTGTAAGCATTTTAGGTTGAGACCCTGTTTGTTTGTACTTTCATCCCTAAAATTCTGTCTAACTATAAACCACTCCTAAGATTCTGCCAGGTGTCTGAGGGCAAGATCTAAGAGCACAAGATAGGGTCGGAGCACAGTGGCTCCCACCTGTAATCCCAGCACTTTGGGAAGCCGAGGTGGGCGGATCACTTCAGGTCGGGAGTTCGAGACCAGCCTCTCCAGCACGGTGAAACCCGTTCTCTCCTAAAAATACAAAAATTAGGCGTAGTGCCTACGTGTAATCCCTGCTACTTTGGAGGCTGAGGCAGGAGAATTGCTTGAACCTGGGCGATGAAGGACTGTAGGCACACCCCACCGCACCTGGCTCATCTTTGTATCCTTAGTAGAGACAGGGTTTTGTCATGTTGGCCAGGCTGGTCTCAAACTCTTGGTCTCAAAAGATCCGCCTGACTTGGCCTCCCAAAGTGCTGGAATTATAGGCAGGTAGGGGTCACCACACTTGGCCTCTTATTATTTCTTCTTTTTTTTTTTTTGAGACAGAGTCTCGCTCTGTCACCCAGGTGGGGTTCAGCGGCACAATATCGGCTCACTGCAGCCTTCGCCTCCCAGGTTCAAGAGATTCTCATGTCTCAGGCTCCCAAGTACCTGGGACTGTAGGCGCCCACCACCATGCCCAGCTAATTTTTGTATTGTTAGTGGGGATGGGGTTTCACCATGTTGGCCAGGCTGGTCTTGAACTCCTAACCTCAGGTGATCCACGTTCCTCAGCCTCCCAAAGTGCTGGGATTACAAGCGCATACTACCACGCCCAGCTAATTTTGTTTTGTTTTGTTTTTGGGATGGAGTCTCGCTCTGTCACCTAGCTGGACTGCAGTGGCGCCATCTCAGCTCACTGCAACCTCTGACACCCAGTTTCAAGCAATCCTCCTGCCGCAGCCTACAAGAACTACAGGCACATGCCACCGTGCCCGGCTAATTTTTTGTATTTTAGTAGAGATGGGATTTCACCATGTTGGCCAGGATGATCTTGATATCCTGACCTTGTGATCCACCTGCCTCGGCCTCCCAAAGTGCTGGGATTATAGGCGTGAGCCACTGCGCCCAGCCTAATTTTTATATTTTAGTAAAGATGACAGTTCACCATGTTGGCCAGGCTGGCCTCGAACTCCTGACTTCAAGTGATCCGCCTGCCTCAGCCCCTCAACCCACAAAGTGCTGGGATTACAGCCGTGAGCCACTGCATGTGCCTAATTTTTGAATGTTTTCCTGTGGAGACGGGGTCTCACTCTGTTTCCCAGGCTGGTTTCAAACTCCGGGCCTGGAGGAGCGATCCTACAGCCTCGGCCTCCCAAATCACTGGGATTACAGCTGTGAGCAACTACACCAGCCACCACACTGCGGTTTACCGGATTTGGGGGATACAGGAGCACCAGGCCCTGGGCACTGTGGGAGGTGGATTTGGGGATAGTCGCTTTCTGGGTGGGTCTGGGGTGCTCAGGAGGCCCCTTCTCCCTCATCCCCCAGGAGCAGCCAGGGGTTCCTGCATCTGAAGTTCTCACGGACCCGAGAGAACCAGGTGGTGCTGGGCCAGCACAGCGGGCCCTTCCCCAGCGTGCCTGAGCTGGTCCTCCACTACAGTTCCCGCCCCCTGCCCGTGCAGGGAGCTGAACATCTGGCTCTTCTGTACCCCGTGGTCACGCAGACCCCCTGACAGCGACCCTCGGCCCCCTTTTGAGTCCTCGGGCCCAGGATTGTATCCCAAAGCCCTCCCCTGGCCTAGAAAATAAATAAGTTATTGTTTGTCTTCGTGTCCTTTCTGTGCTGCAGAGGGAAGAAGGGATCCCTGACTCCCAGCAGGAGAGCCCTGAGGGTCCTGGAGAGGGGAGCGATGGGGTAATGGAAACGCTGGACGAGGCCAGGCGCGGCGGCTCACACCTGTAATCCCAGCACTTTGGGAGGCTGAGTCGGGCGGATCACTTGAGGTCGGGAGTTTGAGACCAGCCTGACCAACATGGAGAAACCCTGTCTCTACTAAAAATGGAAAATTAGGTGTGCATGGTGGTGCAGGCTTGTCATCCCAGCTACTCCAGAGGTTGAGGCAGGAGACTCGGTTGAACCCAGGAGGTATAGGTTGCAGTGAGCCGAGATGGTGCCATTGCACTCCAGCCTCGGCAATAAGAGCAAAACTCCCTCTCAAAAAAGAAAAAAAAAAAAAAAAAATAGGCCAGACCAGGTGGGTCTGTAATCCCAGCACTTTGGGAGGCCGAGGTGGGCGGATTGCCTATGTCCAGGAGTTCGAGACCAGCCTGGGCACCATGGTGAAACCCCCGTCTTTACTAAAATACAAAAAATTAGCCAGGTGTGGTGGCAGGCGCCTGTTGTCCCAGCTTCTCGGGAGGCTGAGGCAGGAGAATCTCTTGAACCTGGGAGGCAGAGGTTGTAATGCACCAAGATTGCGCCACTGCACTCCAGCCTTGGGGACAGAGCAAGTCATCATCTCAAAAAAAAAAAAAAACAAACAAACCCCCAGGCCGGGCGCAGTGGCTCACACGTGTAATCCCAGCACTTTGGGAGGCCGAGGCGGGCGGATTACCTGAGGTCAGACCAGCCTGACCAACATAGAGAAACCCTGTCTCTAAAAAAATAAATAAATAGAAATAAAAAAGAAAGAAATCCTCGAGGGCCAAGGACATCCCCAGCTCTTTGTTTTGGGGACAGAGTTGGGGCTGGAGCCTGAATCTCCCATAGGGAGGGACCAGAACACAGAGAACAAGAGACAGAGCGAGGTAGGGCAGATAAAAACCGCACAGTAGAAACCAGCAGATGCAAAGATGGAGAGACTGAGGGGGGCCAGGCTCTCGGGCCAGCCCCGCTCCCTCCTCCGGGCTGCAGTGGCTTGATCTGCAGAAAGGACATCTGTCCCCATGGAAACAGCAGAAGCAGGGGAGGGGAGCCGGGCCTAGCTGGTGTCGCTTCAAGGTGACAGTTGGGCAGGAGACTCCAGGGGGCTGGTAAACACCGGGAAGACCCTGACCTTCCCCCTCCTCCCCCACCTCCAGGCCTGCCTGGGGGCGATGCCTGCGTAGGGGGTCTTTCCAGACGGGGCTGCATGGAAACCAGAACACCGCTCACTTTCTGCTCCTTGGATTTGT